CTCTTTCCTTCTTTCTTTCTTTCTTTCTTTCTTTTTCTTTTGAGATATAGCCTCACTCTGTTGCCTAGGCTGGAGTGCAATGGCACCATCTTGGCTTAGTGCAACCTCCGTCTCCCTGGGTTCAGGTCATCCCTCCCACCTCAGCCTCCCCAGTAGCTGGGACTACAGGCGTTCGCCACCACACCCAGCTAATTTTTGTATTTTTTGTAGAGATGGGATTTGGCCACATTGCCCAGGCTGGTCTCGAATTCCTGGGCTCAAGTGATCTGCCTGCCTCTGCCTCCCTCAGAGGTCTCTGAGTGTGGGGCCTGGAGCCCATACTGCCCTTTTCCCGTGCAGCAGGCCTGATCATCTCAGCGGCTCCCCAGCTTTGTTTTATCTTTTATCCTCAGGGCAGCTGCAGGTCAAGAGAAAGTTATTGTGGCTTCCTGTCACAAAGCCTAGATATCAGTTGTTAGGGCAGATTTTGATAGTTATACAACAAATAAAATCAAAATCTCTCCAAAGTAGCTCCTGCCCTTTCTGAGTGGTACAAGACAGAGGGGTAGGGGAAAATGCCTTAGAATAAGCAGAAAGTATTTCAGCTCCCTGCCTTCCCATGTGAGCAGAAAGGCTGGGGTTCTTATTTTCTGAGGATCCACTTTCTACATCCCGCTCTAGGCACTTTACTGTCACATCCGTCCCTCACAGCGTCCTGGGGAAGAGGCTGTAACTGGACATTAATGGTCCATTTTCAAGATGAAGAAACTGAGGTAAAGTGACTTCCCCAAGATCCACATCTGGGAAATAGAGGGGCTGGGAATTTTTTTTTTGTTTTGTTTTGTTTTTTTGAGGAGTTTTGCTCTTGTTGCCCAGGCTGGAGTGCAATGGCGCAATCTTGGCTCACCACAACCTCCACCTCCTGGGTTCAGGTGATTCTCCTGCCTCAGCCTCCCGAGTAGCTGGGACTACAGGCATCCACCACCATGCCTGGCTAATTTTGTATTTTTAGTAGAGACGGGGTTTCACCGTGTTGGCCAGGATGGTCTTGATCTCTTGACTTCGTGATCCACCCGCCGCCTCAGACGCCAAACTGCTGGGATTACAGGAGTGAGCCACCGCACACGGCGAGGGGCTGGGATGGATTTTAAGCCTAAATTTGTGCAATTTTATTTATTTATTTATTTATTTATTTTTTTATTTTTTAGGGAGGGAGACAGAGTCTTGCTCTGTCGCCCAGGCTGGAGTACAGTGATGCGGTCTCGGCTCACTGTAATCTCTGCCTCCCAGGTTCAAGCAATTCTCCTGCCTCAGCCTCCTCAGTAGCTGGGACTACAAGCATGTGCCACCACGCCTGGCTAATTTTTGTATTTTTAGTAGAGATGAGGTTTCACCATATTGGCCAGGCTAGTCTTGAACACCTGGCCTCAAGTGATCCGCCCACCTCTGCCTCCCAAAGTGCTGGGATTACAGACATGAGCCACCGCACCTGGCCTCTTTCAGAGACAGAGTCTTACTCTGTTGTGAGGCTGGAGTACAGTGGTGCGATCATAGCTCACTGCAGCCTCAAACTCCTGGGCTCAAGTGATTCTCCCACCTCAGCCTCGCAAGTATCTGGGACTACAGATATGTGCCACCATGCCTGGCTAATATTTTATTTTTTGTAAAGGTGGGGGTTGCATGTTGCCAAGGCTGATCTTGAACTCCTGGCCTGAAGAGATCCTCCTACCTCTGCCTCCCAAAGTGCTGGGATTACAAGCATGAGCCACCATCCACTATTCTTTGTTTTATTTTAATTTTTTTATTGGAAACAGGCTGGTATGTTGCCATGTTGCCCAGGCTGGTATCAAACTCCTGGGCTCAAGAGATCCACCTGCCTCAGCCTCCCAAAGTGCTAGGATTAAAAGTGTGAGCCACTGTCCCCATTTTTAAACTCTGTATGGATCTCTCCTTACAGCCTCCCTGAGAAATGGTCATCTATCTCCTGCTTGGGTATACTCAGTGACAGGGAGCTCATTACCTCCTGAGGCTGCCTGTTCCCATTATTGTTCAACTATGACTGTTAGGAAGTTCCCCCTTATATTGAACTAAATACCATCCAGTTCAGTTATTCTTATGTAGAATATAATATCTGTTGAACTCCTGCTACGTGGCAAGTGCTAAGCACTGGGAAATGTGATGATCTGTAGAACATAGAATGGGTTGTGATCATAAGGCGTGCTCAGTGCTGTGATTGAGGAAACTACTGGAGATCACCTTGGACTCCCTGGCCTGGACATAGCGGGAGGAAGCATCCCCAAGGAAGTGATGTTAGAGCTGAGAAAGATGATAGGGGAAGTAGACAGATGAAGAGAGGAAAGATGGGAGTTTCTGGCAGAAAAAAAACAGCATGTGCGAAGGCCTGAAGGTTCATAAAAGGTGATGTTTAGAGCAGTCTTTTTTTTTTTTTTTTTTTTTTTGAGATGCAGTCTCCCTCTGTCACCCAGGCTGGAGTGCAGTGGCATGACTGCAGTGGCTCACTGCAACCTTCACCTGCTGAGTTCAAGTGATTCTTCTGCCTCAGCCTCCTGAGTAGCTGGGACTACAGGTGCCCACCACCACGCCTGGCAGCAATTTTTTGTATTTTTAGTACAGACAGGGTTTCACCATGCTGGCCAGGATGGTCTCAAACTCCTGACCTCGTGATCCGCCAGCCTCGACCTCCCAAAATGCTGGGATTACAGGCATGAGCCACCGCGCCCAGCCTAGAGCAGTATTTTAAAGTCTGATCAGAGCAGACAGCAACACGATGTGGAGGGGAGGAGGAAGGAGATTAGAAGTGCCAGTGGGACCCTGCTTGGCCACATAAGCAATTTGGAACTTATCTATTCCCCTGAATAAACAAGAGAACAAAGGCCGGGCTCGGTGACTCACACCTGTAATCCCAGCACTTTAGGAGGCTGAGGTCAGGAGTTCGAGACCAGTCTGGCCAACATGATGAAACCTTTTTTTTTTTTTTTTTTTTGAGACGGAGTCTTGCTCTGTTGCCCAGGCTGGTGTGCAGTGGCTCAATCTCGGCTCACTGCAAGTTC